ACACAAGAACTCCTTCCGTTTGGGGATAAAAGTTTCAAGTATTTCATCTCATTTGAACATCCGTGAGGATTTATTGTAGAAGCAAGGCTCACTTCAACATCCATGAAGAGGATTCATGGTAGTACTATGATCAGAAGAAGGCGATCGATGCGCAAGATGCGTTTCGAAATCTGTAGCCTACATGCACAAAATCGAAAAAAAAGTTTGGACTTCCAATTTCTTGGGTGTTTCATCGTAATGTTGAAGTACACCAGATTCGTTTCTTTGTCGATGATGACTTTGTCCGTGCCTTTGATCGGCATGTCGTTGAGCATACAGCCTCCCACTGCTTCAGGTTTCACGGTTACGCCTCCATAGGGAAAGTTTGAATTTTTTGCTAACTGTTTTTAGAGCTCATGCGTCTTGAAAACACACATTTGTTGATAGAGCGTTTTCCGCTTAGGAAAGCGGTCAGAAAAGTTCAAGTTCTTTCTGGTTAGGTTAGGTTGTGAATCCTTCTCAACGAGCCTCACGGGCACATGCTCGCCTCCGAGGATGATGGGATGACTTTCTTAAAATTAATTACTATATTAAGCCTTAACGTTTACAAGCTGTCGCGGACCTGGGTGGTTCCATCATGGCTGGACACGTTGCGTTCTGGCCCTCTCTTGAAGGCACGATCACAAAATCGCCGGAAACCAGCACAGGTAGAGCGGATTGAGCTGTGGTGAGGGTTTCTGGGGATTTTGTGACTGTGGTGCGAATGGGTGAACGAAGATTGGGTGGAAGATATAAGAGAGTAAGCACATGTTGTTATTTGAGCTGTGGTAGGCATGGGTGGACGATTGGGTGGAAGATGTAAAAGAGTGAGGAAATGTTCATGGTTATAGGATTTCTGGTGTTAATAGGATAGGAGGATGTTGAAGGTGAGGAAATGTTGCTAATAGGGTTCTTTTATGGGTAAAAAGCATCTCTGTGGCCACGACTGGAACGATAGTTGACAAGCTTGTTGTACAAAGCATAAACTTAAGTATCCGAAAAACAATAATACGTAGAGTTTTTGCATAGAGCATCGAGTATTTGTTTCGCTCTAGGATTTTAGCATTCGTGCACTTCCCATACATGCGACATTCTCGTAACGGAAACGCCGCAAAGAATTGACAACTAGCTCCCATAGAACTGCACACTTTCGCGGGAGCTTAGAAGTGACGGTTAGTGAGCAACATCGCAGGAGATCTTGTAAGAATTAAAGTATGTCCTGAACGAAGGCACACGCACTTCCAACCTCGATCTAAAGGAAACTTCAGAAACTTGATGAGTTGAGAGCAAACTACTACTGATTTTGCTATAACCCTCACCATCTTCAATGTAAACAAAAGTAGAAACAACCAACTGCCAAGTATCTTCTTTCACTCTTTGTGACCATAGCACTCCTGCGGACTCCCCTGCTCATTGCTGAGACCGCTCTTGTAGACTTGCGTAGTGTTCTCGCAATCGTGGCTTTCTGCGTACAAGTTATACCCTGGAATCACAGGAGGAACCCTGCTCGTACAAACCAGATAGCCCTTGTTCCAATCAAGCTTCAACGCCGTAGAATCCGCACAGTTGTCGCGGTGGATGAAGTGGGAAGATGTGGCACTAGCTAAGCTCAGGAAAATAACAGGTGAATGTATGATGGAAATGGATGTGCTACTAGCTAAGCTCAGGAAAATACCAGGTGAATGTATGATGGAAATGGATGTGATAGTAACTACGTACAGTGAAAAGGGGACAACCATCAAATACTCTCGTCATCCTTGCATCTATAATGATGTTTCCTAGACTGGCATTCGCAGATATTAACTTCTAAAAGCACTTGTGTTATTGACTACGATGACGACAACATCCACGACTAGTCTTTCCATTACTAACAAAGTCATCCAGCACTGCTCTATTACTAGATGCCTCCCCAAGAGTAAGACTATGGTGTGTGCATAAATTCACGTTGCTCATTGAAGAAAATCCGATTTCTCTTGTCAACAGGGGCAACCTTGGTCGGGTCAAAATCCATCGTACAGCCAGGATAGTACTCATCAGCATTCGTAAGTAGCCCGCCCCAGGGTGTTAGAAGATGAAACTCCTGATAGATACAACTATGCCTGATACAACTATGCGTGTGCATATTGTCGTATATCAAATGATGTATACTTAGACTTCCTAGTAGAACAAGTCTGATGTATGGCTCGACAACATCTACTCGAGATTACAAAAAGAAATCATGTTACAACTGTCAAGTAGCGCCTTCTCATGATTACCAATCAATGCTACCATGACTCGTGCATTCCCCGTAACTGTATCCCCTCTTTGTCTGTCAAAGCCTTGCATTCTTCCGCAGTCGCAATCGTCGTCATAGAAGCCGGACAGAGAGTACGCGTTTTGTTTTGGTATGGGACCAAATAGAAATCGTCCGCGATCATAATCGTTGGCGCACGCACGACTGTGGATTTTTTAGGTTATGAAGGAAATCCTCAAGAGAAAGCCTGCTTGTTCTTACCATAATCTCTTACCTCTCGGAAACACTGTCCATGAAGTGCATCGCAGTTGACAAAGAGTGGTTCTTAGTACTTTTCGAACAAAAAGCGAATCCTGTCATCGCAACTGCGGAAGGCACGCTCTCTGTGTTCAGTTGACAAACAAGACCATCAGACTCGAAGCTTTGGCACGTCGGTTCGTCATCGCACAATTTTTAGAGCTCATCCGAATCCATCTCGAGGTTCATCCTTGGTTTGTTTTTGTTCCCTTATGGGAAGGATGACTCTAAGATGCTTCCGAAGATGGATTTGAGTAAGCCCTAAAATTTCCCGCAGTCCTCTGCTGTTCCTCGCTCTCCTCCACCCTTGCCATTGATCGCCCCCATGCCATCTATGGAACCCTCCGTAGAGGTGTAGCCTAGAGGACAGAGAGGTTCTCTTCTTTTGCTAGACTTCTTGCTTTGTTTGGTAGTCGAGGAAGACGAAGAAGACGTCTTGGAGGAACTACGCGATGTAGACTTCCGTTCCACCAAAGCGGACCCAAGCCCAATTTGGTCTATAGGAGAATGGTATTCTTGCTCAGAAGATGTTGACGATGATGCACCGCTGTTCTGGTGCGCGTCTCCTTCTTCTTCGTGTTCGCCATCAGGGTCTCCAGATTTGCTACTACTTCCCTTGCGCCTTCCGATCGAGGCTAGATGCGTCAGTGCGCGCTCAAGCACGTCTTCAGCTCCTCCGCCACTTTTCCTCTTTTTCACAAGCCTCTGACGGCTTTCCTCTAGAATGTCCCGCCAGCTTTTGCCCGCTATAGGGTCAGCGGCAGCAGAGGTTGCTGTAGTTAGGAGACGAGGTGGACCTACCAATTGATTCATGTATCACTGAGTCGTACCAGAGACAGACTGACAGAGAGATTGATGTCTGTATATCAGGTTTTCATAGAGCTCCTCAAGCTACTGGGCTTTGCTAAAACTGATCAAAGTCCACTAATGTCGACTGAGTGCTTTAACCTGTGAGAGAGGGTAAACAATAGACCTCCTAGTTGTCCAGTACATGTCCTCGGGCCAGATCTTTCGATCATTATGATAGCTTAACTTATGTTCATCCTCTGGCAAGGACTTGTTTTTTCCTCCAAACGTCTCTGCCAGTTTGCTCCGCCTATTGCGTGTCACTCTTGCGCCCTCGATAAGGCGCATCGCAGTTTCCGACAACAGTGGATGATTCCTATTGTTTCCTAGCTGGTACGCGCCAGCTCGTAGCAAGTGTTGCCCACTCGTGAGAAGGACGAGGAACGCGGCTCGACCGGAGCGTCGTTGTGTGCTAGAAGACGAAGAACTGCTAGAAGAAGAAGAAGAATTGCTAGAAGATTTGCTAGAAGTGGAAGCAGTAGAGGAGGCGTTTCTTGTATGACTCGATGTTGAACTTCTTGTAGATGACGACGAAGTTGCCTTCTGTTTTTGGGCGTGTACTGCTGCCTTACTACACGTAGTCGTGTCGGAAGCTGAAGATGCTGCAGTAGCATCATCCCCGTGATGCGTATCATCTACAACAGCACATGGCGATGAAAAAATTGCTGGCGATACAGCGCCACTGCAAGGGCGTGCGTCATGCTCCTCTGCATCGTGCTGCCCTTCCCATATTCTAGAAGCAGTGAAAGATGCGGCTTCACTTCTTCTCTCCCTGGAAGTAGATGAAGTCGCTGCACTTCCAGTAGCCTTCTTTGTTGAAGAAGAACAGTATGTTTTGATTGACGGATCAGTTGTCCTTTCAACTTTTGGATTTGGTCTACTACTGTCATCACTGTGGAGGTCGTGCATGTCGTCGTCCTTTAGCTCTGCGTCAACCGATTGCACGCTACTAGTCATGCTGCTATCATGCCTGCGCTTTCTCCGGCTTCGACTGTATTTCCTTCGCGAGGGATCATGCAGCACGTCTGCATCGCAAGTCCTGGGTCTTGCCGAGCGTTTTACTTGATCTCTTTGAGCACCACTGCAACCTCTACCATTCATCACTGCGCCCTTTTGCAGGGCTACAGCCAAAGCACTCAACTGCGTGCTCATGCTTTTTTCAAGTAGTTGTACTACTCCGGAAGTAGCACAAGATGAAATGTCATGTCTTTATTTCACCTGTTGTTCCATCATTCTTCTTGAAGAGTTACACTTTCATCATTTCAAATAAATGGTTCTCTTTGATGAATTCTAGATTTTGTTGATGTTGCTTCCCATGGTCTTGTTGCTTCTCACGTTTCAATAACTTTTTTGTCGCGTTTTTTTTGTTGTAACTAACTGCCTAATTCCACTGTCGCAAGGAAAGCATACAATCACTCATCTCTCCATGATTCTGCGCTCTCAGACAGAGATTCTCCTATACTAACTTTGTTTTCAGCGTAAGTGGATTTCAGATTTCAGAATTCAGGAAGCCTTGCTTCGGCCAGAATTTTTTTTTTTGTATGCCGAGACCGCCGGCAGGGTGATCCCAGGTTTATCCAGTTCGCAAACCGGCGGCAGGTGGAGTCCGATTACCTCCTTATATTACTGCAAACTAAGAAATTTGTTTGTATGCCAAGACCGCCGGAAGGGTGATCCCAGTCCTATGTGCGTCAGCGTGGCGAAATAGTATACAAGAACTTCCACTCGCGTATTCATCTGCACCAAACAAGAATACTTTCGGTTCAAAAGTGCGGCACTAGAGCGATTTTCCTTCGTAACCGTATCGCCAGGCAGAAGGAGCCTATTAGTAGTGGTGGAGCCAACCTAATGGTGGTGGTGGAGCTCAAATCCTCTATGGCCTACTATTTGGTTTTTTGTAGTAATAAAAAGCACACGAGCTGCGCCATCATCACCTCATGAGGAAAGAAGGCAGAGCATCCAAGAGGTGAAGTGAATGGTACTCATGCATCCTCAATCGAAGAATTGAATATTCTCCAAAACAACTCTGTAGTGTTTCCTTGGGTTTCCATGCAAAAGAAAAAGATGGAAGATCACATGTTGCATGTTGTAGCACAAAGAAACGAGGACGTTTCCACAAGAATCAATATCTAGACTATCTAGATAATGGAATCATCTAGAACAAAAGTTATATGGTCTAGGTCTAGTAGTTTCAAGCTGGAATAAAATTTCACCTCTATGGAGGTCTCGACTTTAGACAAGTAGAATAGAAACCTAGATTTCAAGAAAATATGTATGGTCTAGTGAACAAGCACTAGACATGTTGACCTAACGAAACTCGCTTGGTCGAGAAGAAACAAGGATAATAATGTAATTTTGTAGCTTTGATCATGCTATTGCTAGAGTGATAGGTTTATAACTCACTCTGGTAGTTGTAACAGTGATATAAATTTGGTAGTTGTACAAAGAAGATGAAAGGTAAATCTCACTCTGAGAAATTTACAAATGTTGACTATGTGCGACATTCCCTCTTGTCCAAGAGGGCGGGACGAAATTATGATGTTAATCATCTCAAATGCTGATGATTTTCTGGTAAAACTCAAGTTGCAAAGTCTTTGCTTTTCTGTAAAATCAGGGGGGCGAGGAGTCAAAAAATCGTGACCTGGCAGTCACAATCTGACAATAAATTTACATCGAAAATCAAGACCTGTTGATAACATACAATAAACACAAGCATATATAAGGTGAAACGAATTATTTTCATCTACAGCACTAATAGACTATAAGAGAGAGAGCGTGCATGACCATAATGAAGAGTCAGTGATGGAACAAGTATTCGATATTGATCTTTTTTATTGTCGCGTGCGTCCATAGATACAGACAAAATAAGCGCTTGCTTTGCTTTCATCATCTCTCAGGACACCATGTACTCCATGTCATGTGCGGGTCTTTCTTTTGGCTTGAAGTGATACAAATCCACTTACACGCCTGCTACTTCTCGCTACGACTGATGGGGGTCTCGCGCAGCTCCAGCTGTGGGATCTGCTGTTTCCACAGTACTAGCAGTTCTGCTCTTTCGTCTTTTTTCTTTTTTCTTATTGTTATCTGCACCTCCCATATGAGCAGGATCGGTGTTCCGCCTTGACCGCTTTGTACCACTTTTACGTTGACCTATCCTTGTCGCCTCTTCCTGCTTAAGGAATTGCTTCCACTTTTTACGCATCTCTGACGTTATCAATAGTACTTTTTTTCGTCGCCGCAAAATAGAAGGACGTCCCACATTTGGCCCCGCCGCGGACACGAGGTTATCTCCGTCTCCATGGTTACGTCCTTTATCACGTAAATCAAAATTTGGTGGAGGCCCGTCCTCCGTGTGCATCGGTGAAGTCGCCGCTGACTGCGTTCTTGTTCTTGGTCTATTGCCGACGGGCGGTTGTGGTTCGAGGCCCCCCGGGCTAGTACCAGCAACAGTAGCTGAATGTTGATGTCCTAGATTAGCACCTCCAGAAGATCCACCTAAAAAATTACCTCCAGATCCACCAGGCGAACCACCTGCAAAATTACGGTCGCCACCACCAGAGTAGCCTCCGCATCCACCGGATGATCCGCCTCCGCAGCCACCGGATGATCCGCCGCCACCTCCGCCGCCGCCGTAGCCTCCACCGCCACCGGATGATCCGCCGCCACCTCCGCCGCCGCAGTAGCCTCCACCGCCACCGGATGAACCGCCGCCACCTCCGCCGCCGCCGGAGCCTCCACCGCCGCCGGATGGTCGGCCGCCTCCACCACCGCCGCCGCCGTAGCCTCCACCGCCGCCGGATGGTCGGCCGCCTCCACCACCGCCGCCGCCGTAGCCTCCACCGCCACCGGATGAACCGCCGCCACCTCCGCCGCCGCCGTAGCCTCCACCGCCACCGGATGGTCGGCCGCCTCCACCACCAGACGAGCCGCCTCCACCCCCACCAGAAAAGATAGATGGCAGACTTCCGCTGCTCCTACTGCTGGGTGAAGATACAGGTGTTGTCGTGCTTGTAGTACCGTGTCCAATACTGCCATTAGAATTTTTAGGTGATGGAGCGTTATTGTCATCACCATTATCTTTATCTTTTCCCGTTGCTAATGCAAATCTCTGTGCTGCTAATCCAAATCCTAGTCCAAGGCCTAAGCAAAGGCAAACGGCAATTCCGACGAAAATCCAAATCCGTTTTTGCTTGTTTCCGGAACAGCCGTTTTTGTCCGGATTCGAGAAATCCTTATGGCATCCAGGACTGGTATCTTCATTAACTCTGACATCTCTGTGGCTGTGCTGGTCGTCAAGAACAATAAGATCTTGATCAGGTCTGCTCCCTGCTCCGGCTAGAGTTTTGTAGGCATGACCCGAGTGAAGATCTTTTCCAGCTGTAGTGGTGGTCGAAAAGGGCACTTTTGTTCTTTCATTTTCTGCCAAAAGCGCATCTCTCTCTCCACATTCTCCATATCGTTCAACGCTTTCGTTAGTAGATCCAGCAAGTCCAGCGACTCCTCGAGTCCCAGGAGTGTTGAAGCCTCTTGTCACATTATACGTGCTGTGTTCCTCCTGTGCAGCCTGTAACTCGGCTTCCCTGTCCTCTAAGATCGGTGATTGTTCGTCAAAGACAAACAGAGCGTCCTCTAGACACGGACGTTCCGCCAAGGCCTCTTTTAGATCAAACTCTGCATCCGCATCACTCCATTTGGTTGCGCTCCACTTCGCAAAGGCTTCTGGTCGACCACACTTCACAATTTGGCTAAGTTAGAGCTACCTCCGCGTCACTAGCATCTCATTTCTCTTTAAGAGTAAGTAATAAATAGTATCCTTGGACGAGAAGAAGGCTTCTTTTTCAACTAAATAGAAAAAGAAGATCACCAAGCATAAAAAATATCAGTATCTTCACGGTGTAGAAGTTCTTATAAGACCATGCTTTATAGCGGTAGCCTTAACTGAGACGTTGTCGTGGCCGCAAGCCAGGGGTGCCAGCCGATACACAGCGTTTCAACTCCTCTAAGATTTTGACAGCTGACCAGCGCTCGCCAGGCTTACGTCGTAAACAATTCTGCGCTAAAGAAACCAGATGCAAAAACACTTCCTCCTCGTCCTCTTCGCTATCCAAACCCAAAAACGAAGCAGCCTCGACAAGATTATTAAGTGCTGAAGAGGAAGAAGAAGACGCGTCTTGCTGCGAGATACGATAGAAGGGTGCCAATTGTTGTTCTTCGCCTCGAATCTTCCGCAAGACTACATCGTTTCCAACTGATGGAGAGGTCTCGTCATGCAGAATATCTTCACTTTTCGTACCGTTGCCATGACTCGCACGACTTCCTCCACAGCTAGTAGAACATGGGAAGAGCATATTATTAGGTCTTTTCTTGTTTTGGTTATAATTTGCAAGCATATTATTGTGATTGTTACGATCATTCTTGCCCCCAGGTGGAGATCGAGATCCATAGTGCGCCTGGCGATAGATGCAACTGCGGAAGTCGGGGTAGACAATTTTAACCCTAGGATCCGCGATAGCGAATTCCAGGCGACGTCCGCAACCGCTAAGCGCTTCAAACGGGGTCCTACCGTAAAGAAGCTGGAACAAGATAATGCCCAGACTCCAGAGGTGTTAGAAGATGAGCACATGTGTTGCACACAGTAAGGAAAAGGCGAATGAAAACGCAATAAATGAAAGAATAATATGTGAACGAGACCAGATATAGACTACACCTGAGCCAGACCTGCGCGAATGTATCTATGACAATGAATCATCAAATCAAGTGCGCTTAAATGTCCACGGTCTCTCTCATCTTCAGAGAAGGAGCTGTCAAGCCATCGGGTTCCCAAGGCTGATAAAAGGCTTCAGGCGCCATGTAACACGTTGTACCTGTCGTGAAATGAGACATGTAACACGTTTATAACAAGTCCCAAACCTTTATAAGTGATTTAAGTTAGGTTAGGTGTGGGTCCACTAGGAAAACCAGCAGTATAATCTCAATCAGCTGTTATTTCAGTTTTTTCTTGTATTCTTTTTTCTTGAGCCACTGTCGAAGGATTCGCTTTCAAGAGCATTAAAAAGAAATCAAACCGAATGACCTCCAAGGCTTGGCACATCATTACATCTTTTCAGGTAAGTTCATGGTTGGCGTTTTTCTCCTTATGCGTCTCTTGTGTTTGTTGAGATTTATTTATCTATCTATTCTTTATCCTTCCGCACTGAATCGTGTGTGTAGTGATATCATTATGAATAACAAAACAACGAACTCCCAAACCTGCTACATTTGCAATACCGCAATGTCCCATTCTGCTGACGTGTGTGCGATGGGATTGGATCCTTCTCGCTAGACCGAAATCCGCAAGCTTTATTTCCCCGCCTACTAGTAAAAAATTTGCTGGCTTCAAATCAAAATGCACGAGTCCGTGCATTAGAGAGTGAAGAAACTGAAGATGAAAATGTTGGGTAAAAGATGCAAATCAAAAGGAAATTTAACACTAGAAGTAAGTACTTGAATAGTAGTATCGACAGAACATCATCGTACACGGCACTCACAACAAAGACAAGGAAATCACTGTGGCAGAAAACGCTACATCGTTGGTCAGGCAAAAAACAACTGAATGCAAGTCATAATCTTTTATGAATTTCAGCGGTCGCTTCGACCATGGCCGCCCACAGCTCGCCTACTTCACGCAAACGCATCTGACTCCAATTCTCCCGCACATACGTTAACGCATCGCAAGCCCCATGCTCTAGCAAGAGACAGACTGCAAACACACGTGCGAAAGTTTGGACGGCAGAGGTTAGAACTACTACTTCTACCAGAGAATTTGATGTTCCAAAAATTCCAGAAAAGAATCTTTCTACAACGGAACATTTCTTTCAATTCAGTACTCAACAATAAAACTCAACTAAACGGAAATCAAAAGTTTCTTTTCACTGTCAGCCGCGACGCCTTAAATATAGTCTGACCACAGAGGGACAATCTGAGAGTTCTTGTAGGAGTCGTGCTTCCTGTTCGCAATGTTGCAGTTCGCGCATGTTTTCCGCTAAAACGACTTTCAACGCGTAGCTTTCCTCTGACAATGTATACAACGGTGCCGAAGCGTTGCTAGCAGAGGACGAAGAGCGCGCGCGGTGTTGATTCTCATTGTGCTGGACCTGGAGCGGAACATCACTACCACCAGACGAGGTTGCCACTTCTGCTGAAGCAGCACCGTTTCTCTCATTGGAAATTGCACCAAGTTCGAGAGGAAGAGGCGAAGCGAGCAGTTCTTTGCATTCGAAGACTTCTCCGGAGCCTCCTCGACCACAGAGGCGGACAATCTGAAATCGACGACCCTGGACACTTATTCGACTGCCTTCTTGCAGAACGTTTGGCGGAGAGTCACGGTCGTTCCAGTGCGTAGACTGAGGCGAGGATGGCAGCGCTGCCGGAGGCGAGCATGGTGCAATATTTAGAACTATAGGGAAAATCCATCTTCAGCAGCATCTTGGCTCCCCTTTTCCCTTTAAAAATGAGAACAAGACGCCCGTGAACATGGATTTCTTGTAACCTTAATATATGTGGCGGAGACAACTGCTGTGGAGGAGCGACGACGAGTCCAGAAGTGACTCCACTATTATAGTTATTCGTCTCCTTGTAGTGAGGGTCTTTATCCTTGCCGCCTCTTAGAGTATTTGACGTTGTATTTCTATGGGAATTTTTATGCTGGCCAATAGTCCCTTCTTCCTTCAAGAGAGTATCACCATCCTCGGGAGGAGGTGCACTTGGTATCACTGATAGAGGCCCAGAAACCCAACTAGGCGCAAGTAGCGGCTCGCTTGCGCCGGCGATATCACTAGGCGGCAGGTGGAATGTTCTCTCTGTTGCACCGGCAAACCAACCACCTGCTTCTGGAGGCTTTTGAATTCTAGATGGGTTCTTGGCATGTACTTCCACCTGATCCTTCACGTCTAGCACAGACGCAGGACAAGCTTGTTCATCTCGCGGACGTAATACGCAACCAGCTTCACCTTGCGTACAAGAATGCGTACAAGAATGCACTTCTCTAGTACAACTTTGCAACGCAATTATATCTTCCTCGGGGTCGATCTCGTCCCCACGACCTTCTTCGTGTTCTACGTTTCCTAGTACAAGAACCTTTCCTTCAACATTAATTTGTCCTTCGTCTACGCGTCCACGTCCTTCGTCTATTGATCGGCGCTGCCCTTCACCTTCAGGACTACAAACTTCAGAGCTACAGACTGCATCCCGACGTTGTGACGGGGTAGAAGAGGTTGAGGCGGTAGGGGCCACTTGGTGACTTTGTCTGCTAGTCGTGATATCGGATGCTCGCTTCGTGATACTTTCTTCATGCCCTTGATCGAGCTGTCTAAGACCTCCTACTTCATGTCCTTGATCGTGCTGTCTGTTCGTCATATCTCGTTCTCGGATGTCTTCTCTGAGTAAAACATCAGGCGCAAAACGAACAGCGCCTCGTCTTGGCGGCACTGCCCGTCGACTAGAGGAAGCAGGAGTATTCGCATCTTCATCTTCAGAGTTCTCCTGCTGACCCTGACCCTGTGCTTCTTCCTCTTGCTCCTCTAGTCGAGAGTTTAAAAGAAGCGGAGTAGGACCATCACGACCAGGAGAGTTGTAGCTGCTTTCTTTAGAGAAGGCAAGGTTGCAACTAATCATCATAACTACATTTTTCTGTAATTCCTGTGTCAAGGATGCCCTGAGATCTTTAGTTCAATACCTCTAGACTTAGATTTAGATTAGATTTGTGACCAGGTTCTTGGTCCACCTCTAGATTTAGATTTAGAAGAGCTACCTAGTACCAAGCAAAAGCAAATGCTCTACGAATAAAAATATTCCATAGTCTTTTCACTCTGCTCCTCTTTTCCTCCTCTGCTTCCCTGGTGCTTTGTCGCTCGGCTGTCCTCGGCGCCGCAAAAAAAGTCACGACCGACTTTGTTCGATGTTGGAGAAAACATTTTTCCCTATCTATATTGAGATTCAGATTCAGAGGGGTTCCGGTACCCTATATTTTCTGTTATCTAAGGTTAGGTTAGGTTGGGGCCTACCATCTAAAATAAAAAATAACGCTTTGAGCTTTAACAAAGTGGAGTTTTCATATGGTCCGTATATTCATCAAGTTAACAATGACAACATCAAACTGCAACTATTTGAATCTATCAACAGTGTTAAGCCTGTTCTCTAAGAGCTGTCCTTGATGCTAGGATGAAAATTGTTTTGTATTTAAAAAGGGACCTCATCACTAGGATGAAAATAATATTAACATTTCGGAACCACGAAAAAGAACAGTCCGAAATTTTTTCTGAGACTTCTACAGTTTTGACAGGAGTTCTTCATGAAACAACACACACTACAGAAGTTTCCTACGTATCATCTAGATATTAGAGGTGGGCAAACTGGAGTTATTACCACTTATGCGCGAAGAATCTCCTAATTCTTATTAGCACGAAGCACACGGAAATTAGGACCGAGCTGCGCGTGATCTCATGTAACTACACTAGAGCAGCAAGGCAAATAAATTATGTACTGACGTAAGCGAGAACTAGAACGCATGAATTATGGTGCAAGAACAAGAAAAGCTCCTTTCGTAGCAGAACGAGCTTCGGCTAGCACTTTACTTTATAAATATGTTTTGTAATTGTTTCATACCTTTAGATGGATACTAGAACTTGAAATTCATAGGTAGTTGGAGAAATAATACTTCATCATGAAACGACGGCAGTTTGTTTTTCTAGAAGGCACTATTAATTACACACTACTAGTCTTATCAAGCTTATGATCATTAATGGCACACGATGAATCTTTATCAGAAAATTATGCAAATTCAGTTTTCTACACAAAATCGAAAGAAATAAGATCTAGGAACTCAAACATTAAGTTGAACTATCTAAAAGTGGTCTGTCATACAGATGCAGTCATTACGTATAGCGTCTCAACAAGCTGTTTCTTCAAACTACTGAAAAGTCGTCATCATAGCCGCGTCTCAACATCTTTTAGTAGCATCACGCTATACCATAATGTTCTTCATCTTT